GACAGACAGAGATCACAAGTAGGCAGAGAAGCAGGCAGAGAAAAGGGGGTGGGGAAGCAGCCTCCCCGCTGAGCAGAGAGCCGGATGCTCCCATCCCAGGACCCTGAGATCATGACCTGAGCTGAAGGCAGAGGCTTAACCCACTGAGCTGCCCAGGCGACCCCCGCTTTTCTTAAAGTAAGTTCTACCACCAATATGGAGCTTGAACTCAGGACCCTGAGATCAAAAGTGACATGAGTAAGCATTGACATATTTGGTACTCCTGAGCTGGAGCTCTGATACTCTATTCACAGGCTTGAAGCTCCAGGAAGAACACAGCATGCTACCTTCTGCCCCACTTGGGTGGCCTTTCTGAGGAAAAGCTAGTATATTATTTATTGAAAATGTGATGGGGTGATCAAGGGATGGGGGTTGTGGAAATGTGACTATTCTTAATCGTGAAATTTATTTTTGCTTAGAAAACTGTGAAATGATTTTAGGGAAATGAGTTTGAGAAAAAACTGGGTGAGGGCACCCAAGTTATTTCTATCAGTGCTCTTAATGATTCTAGGAAGGAAATAGATTTGAAAGGCAGAAAGGATTGTCTGGCATCATTTATATCTCTGTTGTTGCAAAAATAAATTAGCAAGTCAACGCCCCATTATTTATTTCTCCCTAATACACTGTTCAGCTACTCCCTATCATCAGAACCCAGATTCATCCACTGTAAGGATTGTATTCAACCTGATTATTTATTGCGGTTTTTGTGAGACTAAGCAAAGCCTCCCTTCCTAGTAGACAGCAAGAGTTAATTCTACCTGCTGTGTTTCTTTTTTCTAATAGGAGCACTTTAGCAATGCTAATCAGTTGTACTGATTTTCTGTTTTGATTTTTCCATAATAATTAAGTGAATGATATGGAATGCAATCAAGTTTGGCACTAGGGGGTTCATGCAAATGACTTTTTTTTTTTTAACATTTTAAATTTTGTTAAATGGAACCATAACGAAAGTTATTTGAAGATGAAGACTGAGTGGGTGGGGGGTAGCAGAACTCTCCATTTAGAGTTTTGAATATTTTCCAAATGTCTGTTTTAATGAAGCAAATCACCACTGTATTACTTTTTTTTCGATTGAAATAATTCTATTTTTTAAAGATTGTGTTTTGTTTTCATTTGTGCTCCAAAGTGGAAGATTATAGTGTAAGACAAGATGGCACAGCTTAAAAGAGAGAAATGGGGAGAAAAATGTGTCGAACTTTCTTGCTTCAGGGTAGATACAAAGGAAAACGGTACATTCATTTTACTCAGTGAAACCTATAGAAGAAAACAAATAAAGCAGGGAAAGAGTATATGTAATGCCCCATACACTTCTTATTTGGGTTGTGTCTCTCAGTGCCTTTTATTCAACAAGACAGAACAAAAGGAAGGAGCATCTGTGTTTTTGAATATAGTGAAATGTTGTATTTTATAGACTTCTACAGCTCATTGACATGTCTGTGAATCCCTCCACAGTATATAACATTTGAATTATTTTCTCAAAGGGTTTTAACCTGTTTATGTGAAGTTGCATGATCTCTGCATCTGTGTCTAGCAATTCTTTTTGCTTTTGATGTTTTATGCTCTAATGCAGATTATTCTAGAACTCAGTTAATTTTTTAATTTTCATTTGGAAAATCCTTTGGGAAAATCATTTGGAAAATCCTTTGGGAATCCTTATTCTAGAACTCAGTTAATTTTTTAATTTTCATTTGGAAAACCCACTGATGTATATATACATTTTTTTAAATGTCCTTATATTTTCCCTTCTGTAAACACCTCCAGCAACTTGGCAATGCAGTTAGGTTTTTTCTATGCCAAATTTCAAAAGCACAGGGGAGATGACCAAATTACGCTTTTTTTTTTTCCTGCCATCCTCATAGAGAGGTTAAAGACTTCATAGAGCTTCACATCAAGTGCAAAGCAAGAAAGGCTTCAAAAAGATTAGCATTAACATTTTTACATTAAAGGAAAACACACAACCTTTTTTCTTTTTCTTGGCAGTTTGATTCATTGCTTGCAGCAATTTCTAACTTTACAGACTAAACATTTCTAATTGGAAAATGAATGGTTTGGGTCTAAGATGGTGACTCACGATATAAACTTTCCAATTTGGGATAATTGTTGGTAAGTAGATGGCAGATTACTGCTGACGAGCTCTTGTTTTGTCTTTGAGGAGAAAATGAAAGTTAATATACATGTTTCACACTTCGCTGCAACAAAATGCTTATCCTAAGGTAGATAAAGCAATGAGACAGATATTTGCCATGCTTGTTTGTTACAACTAAGTATATTAGAGGTTTGCTTTTTTTGATGAATGAAGAAAATATTAGCGGTATATTACATGTCTTCAACTGTGAAATGGGGATCATAAAAACACCCTTTTCTTAGGTAAATGGCTGTGAGGGTTGGACAGATCATGCACATAAAATGTTCCGCCCTGGGCCTGGTCCCCAGCAATTGGTCAGGAAATTATTTCCCATCATCATCATCACTCTTGGTCACTCCTGTTAAGTGGAAAAACTTCTTTGGTTTTATAATGTTGAGTTTCAGCTTTTACAACTTCATGACAAATACCAATAATTTGAATTACTTTTTAAGCCCTATTTTGGCCTCCCATTTATGCTTTTTATGTTAGAATATATTTTGTGATGATGGAAACTCCCCTTTTTAAAGATTTCACAACCTCTCATAGTGGCTTGCAGTATCTTTTCGTTGTTCTACACATTCATGATATTATTTCCTTATTCTAAAGCAAATGTTGTCTTTAGTTTTAGCCTTTGTGCAGTTAGAGACAGGTGACTTGTCATGATATACTTGATATACTTATCCTTATAAACAGCCATGATTCCAAAGGATTGAGTACTTCTTCACGTGATCCAATGTCTTGAATTTGAAGGATAAACTATTTCCTAAGGTTAGGTTTTTGCTGGTCTTGTCATTTATTGTTCGTTTGAAGATAAACTTAACCCCCTCTTTTTAAAGTGATCTCTATACTCAGGGTGGAGTTTGAACTCACGAGCCCAAGATCAGGAGGCCCACACTCTGGGGTGCCTGGGTGGCTCAGTCAGTTAAGCGTCTGACTCTTGGTTTCAGCTCAGCTCCTGACCTCAAGGTCCTGAGTTTGAGTCCTGAGGAGTCTCCATGCTCAGTGGGGAGTCTGCTTGCGATTCTCTCCCTCTGCAACTTCCCTGACTCATGAGCAAGAGCTCTCATGCACACGTGCGTTCTCTTTTTCTCAAACAAATCTTTTTTTTTTTTTTTTTTTTTTTTATAGGAGTCCCATGCTCCACGAACTGAAATAGCCAGGCATCTGAATAAACTTATCTTTTTAAACTACAAGGTCATTATTGAATAAATTTTGCTCCCATTTGGTTCCTCCCCTTGTGGTGTAAAAAGTTAGTGTAGCTTCTCAAAATGCCAGCTCTCATCTGGAAAATAACTGCTTCGGTCACATAATCTGACCTATTGTTACTAGTTTTCCTAGTTTACCAATAGGCAGGTTAATACTTGTTCTCTTTTTAAGTAGTAAATGGATCAGCTATTTATATTTCCATGTCCATTTTTACAACGATTACATAAAGTCATTTTATTTAAGTGTGGCAATTAGGCATTTCCTTCTGACTAAATGGTAAGTTCCTGGAGGTGAGGAGATGGGTGTGAGTTTTAGGCGCAGGCTATGCCTGCTGTGACACAGCCGAGCTGGTGAGTCCTGGCACATAGTAGGTGTTCAGTAAATGCCTGCAGATGACTTCATGTGAGTATCTCCTGGGAATCTCAAACTTGTTGTATCTAAAACGGAACTAAAGCTTCTTCCTCCCAGAAGGGGAGGGTGTCTGTGCTTCTCATCTTAGTGAAGGGCACAACACTCCATCCATGGGGCTCTTCCAGCAAACACTCTCCTCTCTTACTCCCATATTCAGTCACCAAGTTCTACTGATTCCAAGTCTGAAAAGTCTCTCAGATTTGCTCAGTTCCCTGCAGCGTCTGCGTTATTCCCCAGTGAAGTTCATGAACTTGGTAATGGTGTACAAAACCTTTGTGATACGCCCGTCTCTTTCTCGGCTGAATTAATTTGGGCTCCCAAAAGTGTGCTTGACCCTGCCTCCCCTCTGATTCCTTCTGCATGGAACATTCTCCTTCATCTTGTGTCTCCTTTGTGGGTCTCTTTGGCAAAAATGCTGCTGTTTGTTTTTCCATTGTGTTCCTTCTTCCTCTCAAGAACACCAGGTTGGTTTTCTCTAACACAGACCTCTAAACAGACTTACGCATTTTTCTGTACACCTGCAAACAAACTTCTGGTTCTGGTTTAGCTGGTTTTGTTTCTGTTGAGCAGATGGGGAATTGGAAGCACTAAATGTAAGAAATGAACATCATGATTATGAAATTATACACATCTTAATGGCCAGGGGCAGGAACCGTATCTGTATTTGATGACCAGTTTTTGCACGGTGCCTAGGATAGAGCAGACCTAGCAGACGTTCAGTGCTCAGGGAATGGATTATTGAATGAATCTCAGTTTGAGCCTGAGGTGCCTCTCTCTTGAGTCAATGGAGCTTCTGTTTCATCCTTTACCCTCCAGGACAAATGAGGCCAGATTCCTCTGTGAGCCCTCTTCTTCCAGAAGGGAAATATGCCTGGTGAGAGAGTCTGGAAGCCTGTGTTGCTCCGAATTGTTCGGGAAGATTCCTTTAATGTTGGTTGGCATGGATGAGAAGGGCTTTTGTTGTGGTGGCAATTAATGATGATTTGCACATTTTTGTAATTTACAGAATGGTGACCACCCTGCACAGCACAAGAAATACCTCTCTCTTGGACCATGAAATCTGGTGACCCTTCTATTTAAACACATGGCTTGTGATGTGTGGTTCAGCCTTAGTGACAAACCGGTTCTGAATGGTTGTTGTACTGAAAAGAATTCTGTTTGGGTCATTTTCATGCTTCTCTAATTTGGATTTTTGTTTTCTTGTTTTCTTATAGGTTTTTCTTCCCCCAAAATGGTTATTTCTTTGAACCCATGCCTGAGCTTTATCTGTTTCTCGTTATGCCTCTGGAGCAGGACAGCATCATCACTGAATCTTGAAGACCCTAATGTGTGCAGCCACTGGGAAAGGTAATCATTTTGAAAGTAGTCTGAGAAATAATTTCTGATTATTTTTATATATTGGCATTATCAACCTGATATATAAAATAGACTTGGAGAAGAGATTATAAAATTACTTTTATGTAAATACCAATAGTTATAATAATAAATTAGTATTATTCTCCTCGGTCTTATGGCATATAAAGTGAAAAAATTTTGATCTATTGATTCTAACACAGGAGTAGTTGTAGCATGCAGGGAAAATATTACTCGCTCCATTCACATGATCTCCCAAATATCTCCCTGCTCTCAGTCTATTTTGCAATAATCTGGGGGAGCTGGAATTATGCATGGGAATCAATAGTTGAGTGGTGAAGGACAATATGAAATTATGTACTGAAGGGTGGCCATGTGTAGTGCAAAAAGTTTGGGCTGTATGTGGCCTGAAAAGGGCGACATGATTTCTGGAGGCACTGGAGTCACTACTGCATGGATGTAGTGTCGGCTAAGACGCTCTCAGAGACCTGAATAAGACGGAGCGGATAGCAGTGATTGAGTGGAGTTCTAGGAATGGAAGGTGGCTTGAAGCCAGTGCCGTGCAGACTAACGAGGGTCTTGAGCAACAGATCTAGAGTCAGCACAGTACTGCAGGAAGGCAAGGTAGACTAGATTACATCAAAGCAGATGATGTCGTATGCAGATGAAGGCAATGTGCAGTGGGAGAAGCAGAGGCAGGACAACACAATAGGTCATTGTCAGAGAGCTTAGAGTCCTTTTTTGGAACACAAAAATAGGACAAACCATCTAGCGCTACTGCAGTATAGTCAAGTGTAGTCTATACCGCTCCACTGTGCTACTTGCATTTCTCCTGAAGCATCGTTAGCCAGAGGTCACCTTGCGAATGTCAGTTTTCCAGAGAGAAGGTGGCACCCTTCTAGTCCGCTCAAGCACTCCAGAGTTATAGGTAGTTTTGATAGCTGTATGTGCCATTTCATCAAACTCTCTTTCCCCTGTTCTCCTCAGCACCATGGGGAGCACAACACAGGGGACACAGTCCTGTCACTGCCATCAGCACAGGTCAAAATGAGCACACCCAGAGCCTTTCAGGCCCAGCAGCTATGTTATTGTAGGGACACCCTGGTCCCTCACTCACAGCATTATTTTTTTCAGTGACGGCTTCCCCATGTCTAGGCACAGGTTTACAATCACGGTAACAGAATCCCACTTCTCTGATCCATCCATGGAGTTACGTATCATTAGGAAACTTTAAGCTGTAGAGGAAATATGTACATGTAATCAAGATCTATGTATCTGTGGTGTTAACTGTATTATATAGAATCAAAGGGGAAGGACCTCTTATTAATTATCTTTACAGTCATCACAGCACCTCCCATAGACATTTCAGCTACCAAGTGCATAATAAATATCCATTGAAGCAATTAAAAATGAATCAGTGAATATAAGGACGGGTACCTATCACATTTCAAAAAGGGAGAGGTCATTGGTGGTAGAACTTCAGGGAGGATGAGCCCTTTGGAATAAAAGGAAATAATCACATTCGGAAGATACTGGGAGATAAGAATCAACACATCATGTTCATACGTGGATTGTAGGATGGGTAGGAGTCAGTAGAGGTGAGATTTAGAACCTGCTCTGTGGGGCGCCTGGGTGGCTCTGTGGGTTAAAGCCTCTGCCTTCGGCTCAGGTCATGATCCCACAGTCCTGGGATCGAGCCCAGCAGCCAGCAGGCTCTCTACTCCGTGAGGAGCCTGCTTCCTCCTCTCTTTCTGTCCGCCTCTCTGCCTACTTGTGATCTCTGTCAAATAAATAAATAAAATCTTAAAAAAAAAAAAAAAAGAACCTGCTCTGTGAAAACCTGGAGGTGTCATTGCACATACGAAAAAGAAAAGAGTACTGATTTGAGAAGGAAGAGATGAGTACAGGTGCCTTGTCACGTTCCTAAGATCGCTTTGAGAAATGGGCCTGGTAGTGTTTTGGAGCACAGAATCGGGAGTCTCCAGCACGATGAGATGTAAGCAGGTGAACTCTCTGAGGAAAAGGCTAGAAAGAGAAAAGAAGCCAGGCTTCCCGTAACCCAGCACCCACTCATACATGCACATTTCATCCTGATTCCTTCCTCATTATTCAACAACACAATTATGTGGCAACACATAATTGCATGTTTTGTTCACTAGGGATAATTTCCAGGGTCTAAAACTCTGCCTTTCTTAGGGCATGTGCTGGATAAATAACTGTTGATTGAGCCCACTCACCTTTTTTTTTTTTTTTTAATTTTTATTTTTTATAAACATATAATGTATTTTTATCCCCAGGGGTCCACTCACCTTTTGACAGGCAATGAAATAGCTAAATATGGACGCCAGTGGGGGAACGGGGTGGGAGGGGATGGACAAGGGCACAGTAGTCTCTAAACCTCATGCATTTCCACTGTGGCAGAAGTGATTAGAGTGACCTCTAAAACACTTACTAATGAGGAGGGAAAATGAGGGTGAAAGAGTTAGGGACATGATGGAGATTTTTTTCTCCCTACTGTATTTTTTTTCTATGACTTTCTAGAAAGAAGGATTGACAGCCATACTTTTCTGATTGATACATTTCCTATTTAACACTAGGTAATTATTCTTCGAAGAAAGGTAAAAGAAAGTGCGATGGTCGTGATAAGAATGGAGAAAGGAGTATAAATTAAAATGATCAACCAAGAGTGCAGGTGACAAGTTCTGTATTTTCAAAACCTGAAATGGGGCTTGAATGGAAATGGGGAGAAGAGGATGAAGGTCAAGGACAGAATTCTTGGTGGTAGTGTGGAGTAGGGCTCATTGATGCTTACCTTATCTCAACCCCACCTGGATCAAATGGACTCAGCCAGAGCCTTGCTTCTCACAGTGTGGTCTGTGGGGCTCTGACTTGAGCCCTACCTGGGTGCCTGTCAGAAATGCAGACTCTCAGGCCCTGCCCCAGGCCTGCTGCATCATTTATTTTCAAATAAAAGTAGGCCTCATTTTAATGTAGCAATTGTGGTTCTTAGAAGTCATACAGAAAATGAAATTAAGGAAAATGAAATCACTTAAAATACACAAGGGGTGCTTGTTATTAAAGGAATCCCATGCAGCAGCCTTTCAGAAACTGATAATTCCATGAATTATCTGTTCCTTCTCCACATCCCCTCTTCCTGGTCTGTGAGTTTACGTGTCGGCATCTACTGGGGTTTCTACTAAAGAAGGCACAAGAGAAGAGAAGCCATTCTTGGCCCATCCCCATGGGAGGTGGCATACAGAAGTGGTAATAATTGAAGCAGCAAGTCCTGAAGCGAGCAGAGATAAGGAATGATGATTATTACCATATCTGATTAAAGTAACAAGATCATTTTGGCAGATAGAATGTAATTAACCACTTTGGAATGTGGCCAAGCGATGATGGCTTCTCCCCGCCCTCCCTCTCCTTCCCCCCCCCCCCCCCGCCCCCTTCTTTGACCTTAAATTAAATCTTGCTGGGGTTTCTCCCTGGATGATATTTAATAGGTTAAAGTCCCGGTGATGATATGTTTTCAGTGTCTTTGAGAAGATTAAGCACACAAGCAGGAGGTGAAGAGTTACACATCTCTGTGGTGAAAATAGTGTAGAATTGAGATCAGATTCCCTTTATACCAGTTTGGCACCCGTTGTCTGCTTCAGAAGCTTCAGATGTTCTGATGACATCTGAGAGGTGGCATGGGTCAGGGTGGTGTCTGGGGGACCCGGTATTAGTGCTGGCTCTAGGCTGACTGCTAGCACAGGGAGCTCAGGGTTGCTCATTTGTGATAAAAACAGGATTGGGCTAGACAGTCAAGAAGGCTCCTTCCCGCTCTGACTTGAGAGCAGCTGATGAGGAACACAGAGGTGTGGACGGTTAGCAGAGGTAGGTACTGATTATGTTCAAACAGCAGCTTGGAAGCGGTGATAAAGACCCAGAGGAGGCTGGCCGGCCCTTAGAGATCTTTTCCTTCATAATGCAAGCACACAGCCTCCACAAAGTAGCCCCTTGAAAAGTGGCATGTTAATTCTTCAGCCCTAGGTGGGTTGAGCAAATCAGGTATAGTCAGTTACAGAGTATTTGGCAGTCATAATTTGAAGAATATTCACTATTTACTAACCTGCTTAGGATACACTCAAGTTTAAAAGTAATTTTCAGAATTATGTGCATAGTGTGATTATATTATGATAAAAGCCGAAAAACTAAACCAACACAAAAAGCTAAAAAAACCCTAGGGACTATAAAAAAGCCAGGAAAATGCTGTTGGTGGTTATTTAAGAGTCAGAGAATTCTCTGTCTCCTAAAAATATTGTTTTCCAAATTCTGTAGTGTGATTAGAATACCATTAAAAATGGCAGGTGGGGGTGGGGGAGAGCAAGATTGTACGGAAAAGAAAAAGAATGTATAAAAACCAACAGGAAGGAAATTTGGTGTGAAAGCCTAAAAGCCTTAAAGCCCTTCTCCCATAGACTTCACCAGAAGCCTGTTTGTGATCAATGTGCAAATTAGTTTTCAGTCCCTTCTGTATCAGAGGAGTCAAGCTGGAAAAGAAATGCACAAAGCATAGTGCATTTTGTCTTTATGTTTATGTATTTCTCTATCAGAGCCCTGTTGTGTTATTTCTGGTATTATGGGCTGGCCCCTCTTGAGAGCTCTTTGAGGGTGGGAATTGCAGAGATGTTCAAATAACTGTTTGTTGAATTGGAATCCTAAATTGTTTGATGACCCTTTTCTAGAGAAGAGGTTTTTTTCTGTCCTAAAACCGGAGAGGCTTCCCTCAGATGTGTGCTATTAGTGAGCGGCAAGTGGCTAGAGGAAAAAAAATGATATATTTCAGCATCTCCTCTCCTTTAAGCAATCCTCCAGACCGCTAGAAATTAGTGAAAGCTTTTGTCGTGTTTGCCTGTGGAATCCGTTTGCCTATGGAATCCATTCTTCTGTCCACATTAAATAGGATGTGTTTGGCCAGGACCTCTTTGTTGATTATCACTTCTGCTCACCAAGGCAGACAGAACTTAACCATCATAACATGGCCTTTGAATTTTATGGGAATAATGCATCAAGTTTAGTTCTAACAAACCAATTTAGTTCTGTTTAATTAGTGCTGTAGAGCCTGGTAGAATATTTTTGTCACCCAATCGGCCTGGATTGAGGGTGGTTTCTTTTTTACTCCCCTAGCATGTGTGGACCGTAGCTGCTTTGTTCATGGGTAATACAGGACTATACCTATATGCAGAGAACATTCATTCACTTTGTTCTGCACTGAAAACGGAATGGAGTAATAATGCTCTAGGCCTCGAGATTCAGTTATTTACAAGCAGCTGGATAGGCAGGGAAAAAATTGGTGAGAAAGTCTTAGAATTTGCATTAACCTGAACCTCAGAACCGTACTAGAGGTCAGAAGACGTTGTGGTCCATATATACAATGGAATATTACACAGCCATCAGAAAGGATGAATACCCAACTTTTGCATCAACATGAATGGGACTGGAGGAGATTATGCTGAGTGAAATAAGTCAAGCAGAGAAAGTCAATTATCCTATGGTTTCACTTACTTGTAGAACATAAGGAATGACATGGAGGACATAAGTAGAAGGAAAGGAAAAGTGAAGAGGGGAAAATTGGAGGGGTAGATGAACCATGAGAAACTGGACTCTGAGAAACAAACTGAGGGTTTTGGATGGGAAGGGGGTGGGTATTAAGGCAGGCACATGGGTGTTATACACAAACGATGACTCATGGGAGCACTACATCAAAAACTAATGATATACTGTATGGTGACTACTATAACATAAAAAAATACCTTCTTGTGATAATTCATCCCAAGAACCTTTATATTTTAATAGAGGCCTCTTTTCCCCTAAAGGGGTTGTATCACAGACATGGGCGTTTGCATCCCATACACTCGTTGGAACATGCTCTTGGGGTAGCCTCAGGTGGCATACAAGAGAAAAGGAAATAGTCACCTAAAATGTATGTAAGAAATTCAGAATGCCAAGTAGGAAGGGATCTTCAAGACCATCTGTGATTCTCTGGTTTTAAAGTGTGATACTCAAAACCCAGGGAGTAAAATTATCTGCCGATGGCAGTCTAGTTTCTCCACACCCGATGAGGATAACCCTGTCTTCTGCTAATCCAGTGATCTTTTCAATAGGGCCTGTTGCATCTGCATGAGATTTGTGGAGCATCCCGAAATTAACCTACACATCAAGTTGCGATGATCCAAAGAATGAAATACACAAAAGTGTGAACAGTATGATTATTTTATGGATTACCTATTGAAGCCTAAGTGCAGAATAGCAAATAGAGGCCACCTAGAGAAAGAAATCCCCCTGTGGGGGAGCCCAGAACCACATAGCTTTTCAAATGAGAAGGTTGTACTGTGTGTCTAACCTGAATTCTTCATGCTGACGTTTCAGCCGCATTCCTTCTGTACATTCTCTAGTCGATAGCTCCTAGTAATGAAGTTGGTCTATTGATTTGCTGCAAGTGAGTCCTTTATTGTGGCCCATTCCATTTGCTAGTGTGAATTAAAGATTTTAGTGAAAATCTTTGAGACTGTTAAAGAGAAGAGGATTAACTTATTCCACCAAGAGGATTCTCCAGGTTTTCCTGTAGGCAGGAACTCTAAGCCCTTGAGCCTGTAATGGACTGCTTTAAAATAAAGAACTATGACATTGAACACTGAATGCTCTTTATGTTTTATGGATGTTTTCCACCTACATTCTCAAGACCTTAAGATTGCATGTTTTTACTTTAACAAGAAGTTGTTAGTGAAAATGTATTCGAAACCAGGCTATGTAGCAGCAGGCCGTGGATATGTATATTTCAGGCTAATTGTTTCAGTGATATGTTTAGAGACTTTGTAGTTTTTACTTAAAGGTTGCATATATTCTCCCAGTGCCTGAGAAGTAGGGCAGGCACACAAAACCAGATTAATTCAAGTTCCAACCTGAGAAATATGTTCTTTCTGGTTTTCCGGAATCAGTACCAAAATGTATCGCTATGAATATTCACATGGTCTCCATGCTTATTATTTGCATGCAGACTTAGATGGAAAACTTCCTTTGAAAGGTCTGGATTAACCCTGCATGTCTGGGATGAGGGGATGGAATTAAATACAGAACACTATGTGGCAATCATGTCTGTAATCATGTCTGTAAATCATGTAGGATTATCAGAGTTTATGTTGAATGGGAAAGAGAATTCCTTTTATGAAATTTAGAACATGAACTCTTGTCTTTTGAATGTATCATTAATATCAGTCCTTTCAGTGCTCTGGTTCAAATGGACACCTAGAAACATTCTTTATTAAAAGTCGGCGTGGAGTCACAAGTGAAGATAATTTAGCCTCTGATTTTTTTTATACGTAGTATATCATGAATGTAAAAATAAGAAATATTGATTCCTTATCTTTCTTCTTTTTCAGCTACTCAGTGACTGTGCAAGAGTCCTACCCACATCCCTTTGATCAGATCTACTACACTAGCTGCACTGACATTCTGAACTGGTTTAAATGCACACGGCACAGGTAATCGAAGCTCAGGTGTATTTATGAGTTTGGCTAACTGGGAAGGACTGTAGTGCAGAAAATTAAATATTTGATACAATGTGTCCATTTGTCTCATGAATAGTTATTGAGTGCTTGCTATTATCCTAGCCTTGTTCCAAACCATAGGAGTTATATAGAAAAAGCAAAACTGATTCTGTGCCCTTGAGGAGCTTACAGAGACAGTGTCTACTAGTTACCATCCTTTCGTTAGCAAGAATTCATGCAGCTTTTGTGTGGTGCATAAATGGGGGAGACCCTCTTGAATATGGACATCACTAGGTACCAAGACACTCATATTCCAGCATATGTGTCTACTTGATTATCTGACTCAGTTTAGACTAACTTAATTGTTTTTTAAGAGAGAGAGAGAGAGAGTGCATGCACATACATGCACAGGGGGGTTGGGGGGAGAGGCAGAGGGAGAGAAAAAATCTTAAGCAGAATCCACACCAGCACGGAGCCTGATGAGGGGCTCGATCTGAGCTGAAATCAAGTGTCAGACGCTCAACCACTGAGTGACCCCGTTGTCCTTAGACCAACTTAAATTTGACCTCAATGTAAGGCACATAATTTTTTCTATAAATGTGAAAACAGAAAAGGAAAACATCTTAAGTATTAACGTTACTATGGAAGGGAACTGTGATACCTTACTTTTATTTGTAAAATGCTTACAGTGGAGTGAGTCATGGGTCTAAATATGACACCTGTTGATTTATGCTGCATTATACATTAGGCTCAATATTATTTCTTCAGACATTCCTTATCCACTCTATCTAAACAAGTATTTCCTTCCTGCCCACTCTCTTCCCTTACTCAGGCCTTATTTTTCATCACACCATATAATCATTACCAGTCATTGCATGACATATTTATTTGTTTAGTATGGATCTTACTGTAGGTCTGTCTTCCCCAGTAGAATATAAGTTCCTTGAGGGCAAGGCTTTATATTGTTGCTCATCATGAGTTATTTCACCAGTGCCTAGAGTAGTGCCTGGAATAGAGTAAGTGCTCAGTAAACATGTGTTGTATAGATAAATCAGTGAATGAATGAAGCTTTAATGAAATGAGGGTCGTTTGTCTATAACCTTCTATTTTATAGTGGGATGAGATTGCATTGTTATAGATTTTTTCAGGGAATTCTCTGAATTATTCCTTTAAAACATATGTAAGTAAAGGATAATTAGATCAGTGTCATATCTGAAATTATTTTAAAAAATTTTATTTATTTGAGAAAGAGAATGAGAGCACGAGTAGGGGCAAGGGGTGGGGCAGAGGGAGAAGTAGGCTCCCTGCTGAACAAGGAGCCCTGCATGTGGCTCGATCCCAGGGCCCTGGGATCATGACCTGAGCCGGAGTCAGACACTTAACCGACTGGCCACGCATGTCCCCATCATATCTGAAATTAATCAATACTTTCCAAGTTATCTCAAGATAAGTGAAAAAGAAAGTCACGAAACTTCTGATCCCTTGAAATAAAGTATAGGTTGACTAAAATGGGCAATTTTAATAAATTCTTAAACAAAAAGATAAGAGCATAATATTGGTCAAGACATGTAGTACATGTTCCTTCTTACCTATTTTAGAATACTTCACTTTTCATACCTTTATTATATTTAATAGCTCTTCTGTATCAAAATATAAATTCCTTATTCCTAATCAAATTGCCGGTCAAAAAAAGTAACAATGTGATTTTTCCTTCCATGCAGAATCAGTTATCGGACAGCCTATCGGCATGGGGAGAAGACTATGTATAGGCGCAAATCCCAGTGTTGTCCTGGATTTTATGAAAGCAGGGAAATGTGTGTCCGTAAGTAAGACCTTTATCCCCTTGTGGGCAGCTTGTGTTTCCCAGTGCTGGTGTGCACTTGTGAATGGCAGCCGAGAGGGAGGCCCAGGGAGGTGGGGCAGCTTGGACCATTCCCTGTCGCCCTTGGCTGCTGCTTTCCTGGTCTATGGAATGAGGGAAGCATTGCTTTGTCCCTCTGTCCTATCAAAAATCTCCACATGAGTGTCACTTGAGGAGAAAACAGATGTTATAGAAGGATGATTTAAGGCCGGATGTCTCAGTGTTAATTACAGTTTTACAATAAATGTCTCTTTGGAAACTGGTCAAGGAGTCACTAGACTCAGGTCACAGAAGAGAACAGAGGCAGGACTTGCCCGCAGCAGCTGACCGGAGTCCCGAGGCAGCTTCTGAGAGGCCACTGTGTTCTTTTCTGGTACACAGAATGATGAAGCTTACAAAAAGCAGAGGAGCTTTCACACTAAGAAACAGCTCTAAGTCTGGGTCACAAAGTAGACCTTCTTCTTTGTCATTTTCTGTCTCCCCTCCCCATCTCACCAGTTCATTCTGAAATGTTTCAGGGGAAGTTGCAGATTTTATGATGCACTTTAGAAGACTGTGGAATTTCATGTGCAATTAAGTTTGCAACTAAGGTTTCTTTCCACTGTGTTTAGGATGTAGAGAAGAGAGATCAATAGAAAGGGGTGTATTCAAATATTTTGGCTCCACACACAGCTAGAGGGGCAACATTGCTTTCTGAGCTGAGGCACTGGTATTGAGTAGCATCGAGAGAGACAAGGTTCTGCTCTAAACTGAAGACATTAGGAATGGTTGGACACATCCTGGCTTAAAAGAGCTGGGTAATGTAGCACTGGGTGACTTTGGAGAAGCCCTTTATACCTCTTTGATGCTCCTTTGATCTCAAGTGCAGAGAGGACTTAAATGGATAGTATATGTGTCCTCTTTCTTCCAATGACTGGATTCTATTCTTTTTTTTTTTTTTTTAAGATTTTATTTATGTATTTTAGAGAGAGAGAGAGAACAGGGGGAAGGGGCAGAGGGAGAGAGAATCCACAAGCAGACACCCTGCTGAGCATAGCGCCTAATGCAGGACTTGACTCCAGTCACAGGACCCTGAGTTGATGACCCAGGCTGAAATCAAGAGTTGGTCACTTAACTGACTGAGCCACCCAGGTGCCCCTGGATTCTTTTTTTTTTTTTTATAGGAATGGGTGCAGTTCCTCAACTTTGATATAGAGCAGGGGCTCTATGTCATAATAAATGTTCATTGAAAAAATTAGAAAATGTAACAAGAGAAAAGGAAAGAAAAGAAAAAGAAAAGAAAGGAAAGGAGAAAAGAAAAGAAAGGGAAAAAAGAGAAGAAAAGAAAAGAAAAATACAGTGTGAATATTTTTCTTGGTCAGTAAATGTACTTCTGTAACATATTGCAAATGTCAGTGTGTTACTGAACTATAGATTGTTAGCAAATTTCAGCTGTTGAATATTTATGTGATTTCCATGTTTTACCTATTATGAACTGCTGTAGAAGACATCATTGTAGTTAAATCTTTGTTCATCCCCTTAATGAATAGGTAAGGATAAATTCCTAGAAGTAAAATTGCTGGGTCAGAGGTATACATGTATTTTTCAGATGTTTGGTGTGTTTCCACTTTATGTGGGATTGCTTTTTGCTTATCCCTGTGCCAATTTTCCTTTACTACTATTTTCTTAATTTGCATGTCTTTGATTAATAAGGATGCCAAATAAGAAAAATTACATGTTTATAATCAAACATCTTGGAGGATAATCACTAACTGACCTCTGTGGCCCAGGCTGATGGGAATTTTCCAAGGAAAGCCCTGAGTGCACACAGGGGCACAGGGGTGGGGGTGTACCTCAGCTGTCTCTGGCAGCCACTTTACCCAGAAGCTTCAGGGTAGCATTATCTTGGTGCCCATGCTGGGGCTCAAACTTAAAAGAACAGTGGTCAGTACAGTAAAGGAGTGGTTCTATCTCCCAAGGTTCATTTCTCTTACCCATTTGCCAGAAGTTGCATATAAAGTCAAGAAGTGACACAGAGCCTGGAGGGCTACCTTCTGGTCATACCTGCTTTCCTTGAAGGCTCGCACATGGGAAGCTAGATTTTACTGGCAAGCTGGTGTGAGACCGTGGATCCAAGCAGGGTCGGTCAGTGTTTAGAGCTTCATGGTCCATGCCTTCCAGAACCCAGCACCCCTGTCATTTTGTTCAGTACTGCATCCCATCTCAGGAAGCTGGGCAATTCCCCAACCCCATCATACCCAAATATTACAATGGTAAAAATAACTTTTCCTGTATCTCAAACTAGGCAGGTTGCAAGATGTCCTCCTGACTGCTTGGAAGGCTATCTCTAGCATTTGCTTCTAAAATTTTTCTTTTTCTAAGCCTTTCAACCAATCAACTGCCCCTGGAGACTGAAACATTTTTCTTTTAGATATGTTAATATATTTAAGCAGCTCTCTGTCTGGTCTCAGAGGCCTGGGAGCTATTTGGTCTCTTTAAGGGTATTTTGCATCTCTCCACTCTGATGTGTTGATTTCATAGCTTAACCCCAGAGGACACTCAAGCTTCCCTTACTTCCTTGTTCCAGGAGATGCCTCTGGTCAATCTTCTCTGCCCTCAATAGCTGGTACCAGTGAGGCACCCTTGTGGATAGGAAAGGAAGAGAGAACACAGGATTCTCTTTTTTTCAGTTAGATTTTGCTGTCGGGCACCTAGCGTAGTCACCATTGTTAACTGTCATCAGTTACCAGAAGGAATAGAAACACAGGAATCAGTACTAATTTTAGTTTAATTTTTGGTAGTGAATTTTCCTAGAAGGCAAAAAAGGGTGATTTCATGCAACTACATACTTGCATTTGAAAAAAAGTTTCCTTCAGGTAGCTGGAGTAACTCCTTCTGGAGAGCAAGCTCCATCCTCCCATTTCCTCCCACCCCTCCTTCCTCCTGCCAATGACGAAGCATATCTCCTAGACTCAGACTGTACAGAAGCTACTGGTTGGCAGAGTACACTGAGTGTGTTCAGAAGATAGATTATGTCATCAGGTAGGAACAATTGAAACAGAAAATATAGGGTATGGCGTTGGAATCTGGGTGGGGAAAAAAATGGTTGGAAAAATTTCCATAAGGCAAATATCATTAGACATGACGATGTCTATGATTTCTTGATGAGGTTTTCACCTGTTCCTAAAAATAAACTTTTTACGTTTATTCAACTTCCAGGGTTACTCTTCTAGCCTAATCTTGTATTAATTACTCTTGATTTAGAGAAATTAAAATGTTAATGAAGAAATGCCCAGAGGAATGAAATGGATTTAGTACGTGTATGTCTGTTTGTACATTGTATGTGTATATAGGTTTGTGGTGTGTGTAACATGTATGTGGAGATATGATTTTTTGTTATCTGTTAACTTTTTAAATTTGAGTATAGTTGATACATGGTGTTATGTTAGTTTCAGGTGTGATTCACATAGTGATTCAGCTTCTCTATATGTTATGCTCTGCTTACCACAAACTTAGCCACCATCTGTCGCCATAGAATGCAATTCCAGTATCACTGACTACATCTCCTATGCTGTGCCTTCTATTCCTGTGACTGATTCCCTCCATAACTGGCAGCCTGTACGGCCCTTTTTCCCTTCACCCGTTTGCCTGTCCTTCCACCCGTTTGCCTTTAGCAACCATCAGTTTGTTCTCTGTATTTACAGGTCTAATTTTACTTTTTTGTTGTTCATTCATTCATTTTGTTTTTTAGATACCATACACAAGTGAAATCACATGGTATTTATCTTTCTCTTTCTGACTGACTTCACTGAGCACAATACTCTGTAGGTCCATCCATGTTGTCATAAATGGCAAAATCTCATCCTTTTCTTTGGCTATATGATATTCCATTGCGTGTGCTCGTGTGTGTGTGCGCACGCGCGCACGTGTGTGTGAGTGCGTCCCATCTTTATCCACTCTTTTTTTTAAAGATTTCATTCCTTTTGTGGCTGAGTTATATTCCATTGTATTTATATATCACATTTCTTTTAACATTTTTTTTTTTTTTTTTTTTTTTTTTTGTTCAGAGAGAGTGAGCACAGGCAGAGAGTGGCAGGCAGAGGCAGAGGGAGAAGCAGGCTTCCTGATGAGCAAGGAGCCCGATGTGGGACTCGATCCCAGGGTGCTGGGATCATGACCTGAGCTGAAGGCAGCTGCTTAACCAACTGAGCCACTCAGGCGTCCCTATATATCACATTTCTTTTACCCATTTATCCATCGATGGACACTAAGTTGTTTCTGTTTCTTGGGGTTTTTTTTGTTTTTTTTTTAGATTTTTTATTTATTTATTTGACAGACAGAAATCAGAAGTAGGCAGAGAGGCAGGCAGAGAGAGAGGAGGAAGCAGTCTCCCCGCTGACAGAGAGTCCGATGCGGGGCTCGATCCCAGGACCCTGGGATCATGACCTGAGCCGAAGGCAGAGGCTTTAACCCACTGAGCCACCCAGGTGCCCCTGTTTCTTGGGTTTTATAATTAAGGCTATTATATACATAGGGGTGTAGATACCTTTATGAGGTGGTGTTTTTGTTGCCTTCCGATAAATACCCAGAAAGGGAATTGCTGAATCATATGGTACTTCTATTTTTAATTTTCTGAGGAACTGCCATGCTGTTTTTCACAGTGGCTTTATCAGCTTTCATTCCTACCAATAATGCACGGGGTTCCCTTTACTCCATATCCTCGCCAACACTTGTTATTTCTTGCCTTTCAGATAATAGTTATTTTAACAAGTGGAGATGATATCTTTTCGTGGTCTTGATTTGTGTTTCCCCACGGATTAGTGATGATGAGCACTTTTTCATATTGGCCACCTGCATGTCTTCTTTGGAGAAATGTCTGTTCAGATCCTCTGCCCACTTTTTAATTCGATTTTTTTTTTTTTTTTGCTATTCAGTTTTATGAGTCTTTATATACTTGGGATATTAACCCCTTATCAGATTTA